GCGAGGGATTACACGTAAAAGTGTGATTGACGTTGCCCGAGCCAACAACATCGACATACGCCTTGAGGTCGTACCAGTGGAGCAGGTTTATCACTCTGATGAAATCTTCATGTGCACGACAGCCGGTGGCATTATGCCTATCACGTTGCTTGATGGTCAACCAGTTAATGACGGCCAGGTTGGCCCAATTACAAAGAAGATATGGGATGGTTACTGGGAGATGCACTACGATCCGGCGTATAGTTTTCCGGTCGACTATGGCAGTGGCTAACAGCAGCGATGAGATCACTGAATATCATGACTGGTTGCTTGTCGTCCTTGCTTGTGCCCCTGGGTCTTCATATTGTCTTGCTATGTTTTGCTGCAGATAGCACATTCGAAATTACGAAGTTAAATAAATTACTGAAGTACCGTGTCCCTTGCATAGCTGAGATGCAGCTTCTGAGATTAGCTCACGTGCTCTGTCAAAGACACGATTCAGGCAAAGAGCGAATGCCAGTGCCACTCAGGCCAACATTCGGCCTGATGCGTCCTTTCCAGAGTCGTCATGACATGATTGTCGTAAACTGCGCTGTTCATTGACAACCACCCGAGGGATACGTTGCCATATTGTTGAAGGCCGGAAGCTACCCTGCATGGTCATGTGGTAGTAGTATCCGACTTTAATTACAACTTGTTTTACATTATTATGGCCAGAGTCAGGCGCCAGCTAGTTAGTTTACTGAACAAGAGGTTAGGTTTCGCCTGGGATATTAAATGACGCTCTGGCCGGGCACTCACTTGTTACCTTGGGTATCAATGGCCTGTCTTGGTTATAGTTGGTTCATTAATTAGACCTCCGCGACTCTAGTGTCCATTCTTCGTGACTGTATCGCTTGCTGGTATGGAATCTACATCACGCCCTTTGGTATTCCGTGGTCCAGCAATATCTAGATGAGAATATGATCATTACATTGAAATGATAAGAACAATCAGAGATTGTGACATAGGCTTACGTTAACTTGACACTTGCGACTTAGATTCACGTCATTCAAAGTCCTAACTCGGATACATCTACATCTTGTAGCATCGCCGTTACATCATACTGGGGATCTAGTTATGGTAGGAAGATGCGACATCAGACCCACCATGAGGGATGAATGCAGTCAGAAGACCGCCCAATTCTTAAACTTTGCTTTCAAAACTTCACTTGGGAAACGGGACTAGTGTTCGGTTTGGAGTCGATAGCTTTCTGTTGGAGTAAAAGATCACTGGACTAAACGGTGCCCTGCCGATATACTCGTCATCAGATTAGAAGAACCGCGGAATGGCGATCCAACACTTCCAAACATTGGGTACAGATAGAAGGGACTGTATCTAGCTCAGTCCTCTTACGGATAAGGAAGCTTCAGAAGTATCATTATATACAAAGAGAGGTCGACGCTCCGTAAGGTGTTCCATGCTATTGACAGCGGCATAAGCACCCAAGCGTCATCCGCTAGCTAGGAAGTTAAACGGTAGATCCCAGGTCTTTTATCTATATATATTGTACATGTTTCTGTACGTGGTAGATATATGAAGATTTGAAATGCTCTTTCCCAAGAATCTTACGCTAAGGTGGCCTCCTACCTTGGATTGGCGGGGTCACCGTATAGGGCGACTCCGAAAACTACACGGAAGGGTAGATTAGTAGTAATGTTACGGGAGGGACCTACAACCTGACAGCTGGTCATACCCCAGGTGAGGGAATTGATTGATGATTAAACACAATACGAGTAACTAATGCGTAACGAATACCAGGAGCCAAGTTTGACCTCAAGTACATGCATACCATCAAACTGATTACTTGGCGGACTGCTTGGCAATATTCGTCAGTGCTTTCATCGACGGAGAAAAGAAATACTCCCCTCCCTTAGGGATCACGCAGCACTTCAAATCGACGTGGATATTGTTGTTCTGGCCGTCACATAATCCCATAACAAATGGGTCAGGCCCGTTAGGCTGGCCACAGATGGGGTCGGCACCAGGTCCTGGTGGGCCAGTAATACTTTTCTTCAGCGGGGGAAAGGTGTTTTTGTTACACCATTCTGCTCACAACTGTTAAATATCAAAGGGCCAATACAGTACATCGTATCGATGCTGTGGTGGGATTGCTTACGCTCTTGAACTCGCCTGAATCCATTCGCAATGCTGCTTTGGTAGCACAGAAACAGCATTCCACGCTCCTCCTTTGTTGTCTGTTGATCGTGCTCTTCTTTAGTGACTTCATCCCCATAGGGTATGCCCCGACGCATCATGGAAAAAGTATTCGTATCCCTGACATCTCCCCGGGGTCTGCACTTGCGGATATGCGCGGCGAAAGGACACTTTTCCTGATTACTGCCGGGCTGAAAGTCAAAGTTATTGCAGTCAGCGAGCGAGGGATCGTCTTTGCATGGCGTAAGAAACGTAGGGGCACCTGCGTCATGTTGTAAGTTTTCGTCATGAATATACAGTAGGCTGAGGCACAAACCGCTCTTCCATCTTCCCATTAAGCGTGCTGAAAGCTGATCAGTGGTCAGATGATGCTTAGGAGCCGTCTCATCCAGCCATCTAAACCCTCATCAGAAGGATGCGGTGAGATATTCAGACTTCTACTTGCTTACTTGTTGAATTCAGGCACCAGCTGCTTCAACTTGCGGAAGACAAGGAAGCTACCGTCCGTCGCCCAATCCGGCTGACCAACAGGCTCTTGGTCGGCATTAGTTATAATATATCTAGAAGGAAATATTATTAGTACTAGTTCGTGCAAGTAGTTTTTCAGGAAATCGTGCCTACCCTGGCGGTACAAGTGGCGGCTCAAACTTGCCCTTGGGAGCCGGGTCGAGCCCCTCCAGCTGGGGTTGGGAGATGAGGTCACGGTAACCAAAGCTGATAACGGTCAGATGCCCATTTCTTTTCAGTAAGCTTACCACTTCTCACTGTTCATTGCTACTGTTGGGATCTGGTCGCACATGGCCATACTCTGTGAAGAGCTCCTTGATGCTGGAAGTGAACTCAAAATATCCAACGAAGATATATTTCACCTCGCGCAGTTTTGCTCGCGCGGTCTGCTCAGAGCGGCCAGTGACAAGAATCACACCATCAATATATTGACCTTCGACTTCGGGCTTGAATTTTGCCTCCCAGTCGTCTGGATTATCCCGTCCTTCACCACCGGCAACTCCACCTTGCAAGTCTGCAAGCATACCCCCTAGGAAGTTGCCAGATCTCAAATTGTCCTTATCATCCTTGAACAGCTAGGTAGCGGTATCAGATATGGTCCTCGAACCAGGAGCAGGGACGGCGGGGCTTACTTTTTTCAATCCTTTGGCGCTCAAGGCCAAGTTCACGCCGGTGAGTGGAATCACTTTGGACTTTGCTTCTCCACCGGGCACCTCAGCCTTGTTCTGTCTGATCTGCTCATGGCATTTAACGGCATCATTCGCTGTGGTAATCAGTGGAATAAGTGTTTTCAGGTCTCTACGGAACCTCCTCTCAGAGGTAATATTGAAAAATAAAAAGAATTCATAAAGCTTCGGCAAACCCGGCCTAAGAAATGTTACTATCGTAGGCCGGCCGGAAAGCTCGGCCAGGCGCAGACTCACCAGATGTTGCCTTGGATGTTGTCCTTATTAATATCGAGCTTATTGATTCTTTCAGAGGTCATGTTGTCAGATAATTTATTCCGATTGAGCAGGCTGTAGCGTAAGTCTTAGATAAATGGCGAGTGATATAGGGGAAAAGAACCTAATGAGCAATCACAGATTTTTATATCACGGTTATCGGATTTCCTCTATAACTCTATAAATGCCAACGCCTGTTCCATGGTATCTAGTAGATGCAACGGCAAAAAAGCGAAATCTAACAAACCCGCACCCGAAATTATCTCATGCACGGAGTGGGATGAAAAGTAGGCCGCTGTTGAAACTATATGAGGTGTAAGCGTAATCGACTTCTTGCGTATCAGTGGGTTAGTTACATCAAGCAAAATGAGAAGTGCGGATATCAAAGATGGGCCCTCAAATATTTGGTTCATGACACTCCTAGATGGAACAAACACCGATGGCAAAGTCTTGTATAAAGGTTGTCAGCGCTTAAATTCGAAAGAAAGTCATGACGCCTACTACTTCATGAGCTCACGCATCTCACCCATCCACCACTCCCCAATGTAGCGTAGATCAGGCAGTCATCGCTTGAGCGCTACCGTATTAGTGTTTTTATTGGGTGCGAAGACGCTATGATACTCCACCATAGTCGTGGCTTGAACTTGTAGTCTATGGCGTGGTATCGACACTGCTTCAGCTAGCCATGAGCTACCCAGTTAGTGGAGTGTACAACTCGCTGTTCACAATTCCAAATCCAGACGGGAACGACGTTTGTCTTAATTCAGAATGGCATGTAATATAAGAACCATAATAATAGGTGGAAATAAATAACACCATACCCAGTGTTTAGAATCCCTCTCTGACGCCCCAGCTCCCACCGACAATGATGAAATTAAGTGTGAGTATCAGGCATTGACGATACTATCTGGTGGAGCCAAGTGAGGTATTTGAAGTTCCTGGACTAGTTTACAAATGATCAATGAAGACATTTATATCTATAATGTGAACTCACGCACTTGCAATCTATTTTCTAATGCTGGATCAAGGACATTTACTGAGTAATGAGAATCTTGGCCTGCACCCCACAGTGATATAGTGATAGCTGAATTTTTAACTGGAAAGTTCTCCCTATCTTCCAAGCAGGCCTGAGCCGTGCAATGCACTGGTATTCTCTTAAGGGCTTAGAAAAGACTACTATGGCACCAAATCAAATTGCAGATAATAACTCGATAGCTGGTGATGCAGTGATGCTTAACACAATTACATATCTAGAGAGTCTTCTAACAACAATCACTCCAACACTATAGAGATGCATCTCTTGCTATTATTAGTGATCCCATATAAAAACAGTAGGTTTTAACTCTTCACAGTCTTTGTAAGGAGTGACACGTAGATCTAAGGCTTGACTGTCCTCTCGTAGATGTCTCGCATTGCGTCAAGAATGGACTCCCAGTTATCGAAGGGCACAAAAGGAATCCCTTTCTGTTTGCAGTACATCATTAGATCTGAACTGAATGGTTAGTATCTTGTATAACAAGAAATACAAGCAGCATTTTTATTCGATTGGATGTGGAGTCAAGGACATTACTTGCCTAGACCTTCCTTGGCAAATAGGATGTTTGTTTCGGACGCAGCAGAGAGGTCTGATACTCCATCTCCTGCAAAAGCCACCACAGGACGTTCTCCGTCAGGCAGTGCAACACAATGCTTGATTTCTAGCGATTTGTCGTGGCCGAATATGCTATAGTGCTCTGCTATGTCAATACACCTCGACGGACAGTTTCCATTGCTGGCCCACTTGCCTATCGTCGCGATATTTAATTTGCCATCCACCAACCATGTCGATATGTTTACCGTTGTGAGGCGCGATGTCGTTTGCAATGACAGATATATTGCTGGGTTTGCCAGCAAATAAGGAAACCAGTAATGCCTCTATCACAGGCGTCATTCCTGATGACAGAATCACAATTGGAATACTTTTCTCTGTTGCCCAGAGATAGAAGTTGACAAAACCGGGGTCGAGCTGAATATTATCCTGCACGATACGAAGGCACTCGTTGAAGGGCATTCGCACGCTATCGAGCATGGCCTGAAAAGCATCTCTGGTGGGGTTATTCTTCGGCTCACAATTGTAGGTCTTGGAATTTCTACGCCGGGCTAGCACGTACCTGAATGCCAAAGTTCCATTTAGGACTTCTAGCTCGAGCATCCGGCGTTTTTCGGCCCCGAAGCCAAAATTGTCAACCTGTACAGAGGGTCAGTTGCTGTGAACAATTGTTGGCATAGGTTATTACCAGGTAGTCATTGCCTAACCAACTTCTTAGTAATGGCTTCATGAAATCTGTGAAAAGGGTATATATAGCTTACAGTCCTGCAAAGTAACAGTTCCGTCGAAATCAGTGAAGAAAATTGCTTTCGGACTACCATTCAAGTACTGGTGCCCTCCCTCCATTTGTGGGGAACTCTGGGGTATATCTCGTCCTACGCTGCTTCAGAAGGAATGTGAGAATTGACATATACTTGGGAGAACGGCGAGGTACATTATTGATTTATTTATCCAGAGAATGACTTCATTAATTTGATCCATCCGTTAGGAACCAGATATTTCTATTGAAGCTGACGGTCAGCTATCCTTAAGAAAGACAACCTTGCCATTTACTTCTTCCGCTTCCATATGGCTCGTGGAGCAGATTCCGAAGGCTAGGTGACGTGGACCATCTTCCAACGCAGGGGCTAGCCGGTCGACTTCGCAACGCAAGAACCCCCAGCTGCTTAAGTCTAGACCGTCCTCACTGTTTCAGCCTTGGAGGACTCGGAGCCGACATTGGATATAGTACAATGTGAAATAGAGTTTCCAGGGAGGGTGACAATCTTCATAGACAAGTCCGATACTAAGTTATCGGACCGCACTTGGTTACCACTTGCATTACGTTACCACTGCAACCAATTGCCGAAAGCCCGCAACGGGGCAGCTTGGTAAACATTGCTTGGTTGAGGCCTGTTAGCCATATATTTGTCACATACCATGCACAGTTCATTACACGCAGTGACAGGACCATGGTGGGTCTTAGAATGTGGAGAATTCCCGTTATCTACAAATCAAGCCCCACAATTGTTACCTATTCCAAATTACGCCTTCCCCATTTAACGAGCAGGATACAATAGCTGAGGTCTAGCCATTTCAGCCGCTGAATTTGTCATGTGGGTCAGCTTGATATAAAACTGAGCGACATGGTTGTGGTCCGCATGCAAACGGCCGATTGCATGCCCAATAAACTGTACCACCAGAACGTTGAAATATGACAAATATATTACTTCTTTCGGTAAAGGTGTGCCTAGACAGATAAGCTGCGTCCTATCTGGCAGATTGCACACAGTCTATGATGCGAGGAGACAGCCCATATCTACCACATGATAACGTTTGATGATAAGCCACCTTTGTACACTCCACACGGCAAAAGCATATGTTTAAACTTTAGTGCAATGTAAGAACTTATCGCCTTAGAGTTCAGGGTAGGTGAAGTCCTGCAAGCATACTGTCTCAAGATGAGGGCTTCAGTAAAATGTATTGCACATGTTACAGCGCAGTCCTTCGGTGCGTCGAGGACTTGAAGTGTTACATCCCTGCTGACACTCTTATGAACATATCGTACTGAGGACCAGATAGGCACAATGATTTTAGCTTATAGACGGATGTCAGTGTGAAGACTACGACCTTGGATGGGACCAACGGGTCGTCTAGGTGAACACTATGTTTCTTCTGACCCATGTTGGACGCGTTCGGTAGTCCGAAAGACAACCTACGACCTGTCCATCTCGCAGTCACGTAAGGACAAGAGCACTATTTAACTGCGTAGGCCGTAAGATAGGGGGGGCTGTCGTCGCAATGGTTTGCTTCTTTTATTAAATTTGAATGAACGTTCTATCGATATTATAAGCAGAATGGGCTCCGTTTCCGAACCAGCTTACCTTTACAAAAATGTCGTCCACGACCCGACAGTACCCTCTGTTCAGTCTGCGAAGGGAATGTACATTCACCTTGACAATGGGCAGATAATTCTCGACGCCACCTGCGGCGCGGCTGTCTCTGCTATCGGACACGGTGTAGAACGTGTGAAGCAAGCCATAATCTCGCAGCTTGATCAAGTCGAGTACTCCCACCCTGGATTCTTTCCTAATGAACCAGCTATGCAGCTTGCAGATATGCTTGTCGAGTCTACAGGCGGGAAGATGTCTCGGGCGTGCATTCTGGGGTCCGGTAACGTCCTCCCTCAGTATTCCTTGCGTAAGAACTCATTTGGCGCCAGACTGACTACGTGGGTTACATAGGTTCGGAAGCCGTCGATGCCGCAATGAAGCTTTCCCACCAGTACTTTGCAGAGGAAAAGCCCGACACCCGACGAACCAAGTTCATCTCAAGACGTGGTTCTTGGCATGGCTGCACCTTGGGGTCTCTGTCCTTGGGAGACTTCAAGCCGAGGAGGGATCGGTTCAAATCAATTTTACATCCCAATGTCACCCACGTGTCGGCATGCGACCCGTACCATGCTCTCAAAGATAATGAAGATCTGAAGACGTATGTGGCTCGACTCAAGCAGGAGCTCGACGAGGAATTCCAACGACAGGGACCTGACACCGTCTGTGCCTTTTTCCTTGAGCCAGTGGCCGGAACAGTACGCGACTCTCTATTTCTTACTGAACTTGACAAACATTGACCGCTATGAAATTTAGGCCCTAGGCTGTGTTGCCGCAGTACCTGGCTACCTGAAGGCCATGCGGGAAGTATGCGACCGCTACGGTGCACTTCTGGTCTTTGATGAGATCATGTGCGGCATGGGCCGCACCGGAGCCATGCACGCTTGGCAGGTGGACGGTGTCGTGCCTGACATCCAACTTGTGGGCAAAGGTCTCGCAGCGGGATACGGAACCATATCTGCCCTCCTTATCAACGATCGCGTTGTTTCTGGGCTGAAGCAAGGCGGAGGATACTTTGTTCATGGACAGACCTACCAATCGCACCCGCTTGGTTGTGCGGCTGCAGTTGAGGTTCAGCGCATTGTCAAGGAGTATAATCTTGTCAGCAACTGTCGGGAAATGGGTGAGTACCTCGGAATGCAACTGAAACTGCATCTCGGAGATCATCCACATGTGGGCGATATTCGAGGGAGAGGTCTTTTCTGGGCAGTCGAATTCATGGAAGACAAGGATAGTAAGGCTCCGTTTGACAGTAAGCTTACCCTGAGCAAGCGCCTACAGACCAGGGGACTAGAAAAGGGCTACGACATCTGTCTATTTGCAGCTACCGGTGCGGTAGATGGGTGGAACGGTGACCACTTCTTGCTTGCACCGCCATACAATGTTGGAAAGCAGGATGTGGACGAGATAGTGAGTCGGGTTGTTAAGGTTATTCATAGTGTTTTTGAGGATATCTCTGCTTCGAGGCAGCAGCATCCTTATCAGTAAAGTCTTTGATTTCTGTCTTATTATCTGGGTTTATGACTGCTTTCGGGATGAATTTGCTTTATTGTACCTGCAGGAACATAGTAATAATAATTTCCTCATATTTGATGGTCCTCTCCCCTGCCCTGGTAGACCGACATCCGTGGAATTTGGATAGTCAAATACTACCGTGTCAGATCGCAGTTAGGGTTAGAAATGCAAAAAAAAAGCTTTTAGGGTTATGACCTTACGTGGATCAAGCCAGTATACCACTCCCTTCCGCTGTAGCCGTCGACTAGGGTAACATTAACATAGTCCGGCATGCTTAGTAATTCCATGAAAGTTGGACGTCAGAAGCAATGGTTACGGATTGATACCGCCGAGTTTTATGCCACAATTCTGACGGGCCTATTTCCTTCCCCATATTCCTTCCTTCCCTGTTCATCCCCTATTCTGTTTCGCCTTTATCTCTGCTCGGTTGTAATCCTCTCTTCTTTTCTAGAGGCTCCGACGCTAGCTCTTTACTTACATCATCTCTTTGGAGAAGGTAAACGAAGAAAATGCTGGAAACAGGTTCTACAACGCCCCTATTATCGTCACGGACTGAAAGTTACGTTGATTATCAGACCATTATATCAGACCAGAGACTTACCGCTGGTGATGACTTGCGCAGTACGGACTGTCAACCAGAAAAGTGGAATGAGCCTCGGACGAATGTTTGGCGCATTTTAGCCACCTTCTACAGCTTTATCGTCGTTGGAGCAAATGATGGCGCATACGGTGTACGTCGTAAGTCAACCATTTTGATATTTCGTGTGCTAATTGCGCGTCGTGTATAGGCAATGATTCATTACGTATGTTTATCCCATAGATTTTCATCCCCACGCGTATCGATGATGCAACGTTGACTCCCCGCTTATACTGGCCTTCCAGTTGGGAAAATATTATGATGCGGACTATACGACTGTTTCACTCGTGTTCCTTTCCCCGTTCATGGGTTACGCAATCGCTGCTCTTGGGAATAATTGGATACACGATCGTTTTGGACAGCGCGGCATTGCATTAATCGGGGCAGGGTTGCATATAATCTCATACCTTGCGACCACCACACACCCACCCTATCCGGTCCTAATTGCTGTATTTATCATATCGGGGCTAGGAAACGGAATCGTGGATGCCTCCTGGAATGCATGGATTGGTGCCATGCACAACAGCAGCCAGCTGATGGGAATCTTGCACGCGTTCTACGGTCTAGGAGCAGCTCTGGCGCCGCTAACAGCAACCTACCTCATCACGGACAGAGGTTGGAAGTGGTACGAGTTTTACTATGCAATGGCCATTGCAGCAGGAATAGAATTTCTGACCTCGGTGGCAGCCTTCTGGTCTTCGACAGGGTCAGGATCTAAAGATCCGGATGCCTGTACAGACGGAACTCTGTCATCCGATAGCTCGGCTAATCTTGCGTCCAGCGCACCACCAAGGAAACCCACCCTCGAGTCGTTAAGGATGCCATCTACATGGGTAATAAGTCTCTTTCTCTTTGTTTATGTCGGAGCCGAAGTGACTATTGGAGGATGGGTTTTCACCTTCCTTGTTGACCTCCGAAACATGCCTTTGTCTACTGCAGGTTTTGTTAGCTTCAGCTACTGGGGAGGACTTACAGTTGGTCGTGTGTGCCTCGGCTTCCTCACTCCATATTTCAACAATCAGCGCCTGGCAGTCCTTCTTTACTTGGGTTGTTGTATTTTCTTACATCTTACATTCTGCGTCGTTGATGACCTCCGCTTGTTAGTCGTTTCGGTGACCTTGCTTGGTTTCTTCCTTGGCCCTCTCTATCCCGAAGCAGTTATTGCCCAAGCAAAGCTTCTGCCGAAGTCTCTCCATGTTGCGGCTGTCGGCTTTGCTTGCGCTTTGGGGAGTGCCGGGGTTCAGTATTCCCTTTCATTACTGGCGCGATTGCAAAGGGTTATGGAATCAAAGTCCTTCAACCCATTGTGCTTGCAATGCTAGTTC